ATTTTTATTTTTTAATATATTTTTATTGATTTCAGAGAGAAAGGGAGAGGGAGAAGGAGTTAGAAACATCAACGATGAGAGAGAATCATTGATCAGCTGACTCTTGCTCACAACCTGGGTATGTGCCCTGACCAGGAATCGAACCTTGACTTCCTGTGAAGGAGAAACATCAAGTGGTTGTTTCATATACTTACCCCAGCCAGGGATCAAACCCTCAACCTTTTGATATACAGAAGACACTCCAACCAACTGAGCATAGGTCAATGCTCAACCACTGAGCACACCAACTGATCCAATCACTAGAATATTTAGACCTCTTTGCTGTCTCATGATCTTTGTACTTATAGACTTTTTCCAAATCTTCTCATGTCTAGTTCTTTCTCACCTAAAAGTTTTAGCAGAAATGTCAGCTATTGGAGAAGCCTTCTCTGACAGTTCCTTAATCCCATCACCCTTCACCACATCATTTTCTTTTTGTTAGTTTTTTCAATATATTATTATTTTTGTTTATTTGTTCACCTTATTGCCAACCTTCTCAGTTAGAATATATGTTTCATCATGAGGCCTGGGATAATATTTTATGCGCATCCTTAAATCCCAATGCATACCTCATATTAGAAACTCCATAAATATCTGTTGAATAGATGAATGAGACTCAGTTGCTTTCTGAAGTGGTCCAATGTAGAGAATTAAGCCAAGAATGAAGATGAAAAGCTTGATTACTTTTAGCTCTGTCCCTATTCTATGATCAATGGTATAAAACTGAAAAATTCTAGCAAGGCCTAGTTGTAAAGATTAGAAACAAGAAACCAAAATAATCAGTAGCCACTCCTCACTCAGACTTCTCTTGATTTACAACATCAATGGCTTGTCCATAGATTACAGGAGTTTTTATGGCCTTAAGAAAGCAAGAACAAATGACAGATACTTCCTAATGAAAGTTTAGATACCTTTTAAGCCTGTCTGTAAATGCTGCTTTTAATGTAGAAAAATAACATGTAATCCTATATAATAAAAGCCTAATATGCAAATTGACTGAACTGAAGAGCAACAGGTTGCTATATTTGATCTTTGGTTAAATATTAACTACATGATTTGAATGTGATAATGAAAGGCTCCCACAAAGTAAGTAGTCTTCTATATTATTTATTTTTTTCTTTATAAAAATATTGTTGTAGTTTTCTGTGTTGCATTTCCTCTGATGTGCCTCATATACAAAACTGAATTGTCATGTGTCAAGATTTTTTAAATATTTGAAAGGGATAAAATATTAGATGCAAGCCTATGATACAATTTCAAATCAAATTTAAAAAAGTTTGAACTTTAAGTATAACTTGATGCTATTACAGGGAGGGGAAACCCCATCCCCATCCTCCTTCATGCTTTTGGCTCGTCTAATCAAATTGACAGAAGACAGATTAACAGGAGGGGGCAATTTTAAAATCCTATATAATAAAGAGCTAATATGCTAATTAAACTGAGCAGCAGAATCTGGAGCTTTGAGGGCTGGCTGAGGCTGTTGACAGGCCGAGTCCCTTGCATGAGTTTTGTGCATCAAACCTCTAGTTCATACACATGGCAGTCACACAGAAATGGCACCTAAAGAAATGACCAAAGCAGCCGAAACCAGTTTGGCTCAGTGGTGGAGCGTCAGTCTGTGGACTGAAGGGTCCTGGGTTCGATTCCCGTCAAGGGCATGTACCTTGGTTGTGGGCACATCCCCGGTAGGGGGTGTGCAGGGGGCAGCTGGTCGATGTTTCTCTCTCATTGACATTTCTAGCTCTCTGTCTCTCTCCCTTCCTCTCTGTAAAAAATCAATAAAATATATTTTTTTAAAAAGAAAAGAAAAAGAAAAGAAATGACCAAAGCAGGCAGCTTTTGTAATTTGTAGAAGAGGAAACAATAAATTTGTGAGGTATTGACAGGGCAAAGAAACTTCATCTTGACTGTTTAACTAGTGAAGTATCTAAGCGGAGTTTGAGCTTAGAGTGGTAAATTAGTAAAGAAGTGGCAAGGTTTGTTCACATAGGTTCTGGGCCCTTAATTCCCTATCTCTGGGCCCTTAATTCCCTTTCTTTGATAAGAAAGTCTCTGTACCTTCTGGTGCAGGTAGGGTACCTTTCAAGTGGGAGATTTATTTCCTGCTTTCAGGGGACAGAGAGAAGGGTCAGAGCATCCTTGCACTGACTGTTTCTCAAGGAACTTTAATTAAAAATAGTCAGTATGACACTTTGGCATATTTGGGATTGGCCTGCCCTTAACCCCAACATATTGCTGTTCTCATTCAAATTTTAATACAATCATTGTAGAGAATAATGCAGTTTATAGTGCGAACAAATTGAGAACTACATTGAGAGATTTTTTGAGTGTAACAAATATGTATCATTAGTTCATAAATTCACTTTTGTTTTATTTGTATAATATAAATTTTAGTCAAATTTATATTGAAAGAAACTTACAGTTCTGCAATAGAAATTGCCATAAATTTTGAGATGATGCTAGTTCATTCTGAACCTAATGAATTCTATTAAAATGGGTAATAATAAGTTTTCTGTAGTTATTAAGACTAACTGTAAGAGATTAAACTTGATGGCCAGGAAAGGAAGCAGTCATTGTACAGATTGCCTGCAGGTAAAGTGTCTTGTGCACAACTTAATTCACTAGCTAAAGCAATTATTTTTCTACAATATTTTCCTCTTAGAGGGTTCCTGCAAATGACTCATGTAGCAAGTCAACAACCCCCCGAAAAATGATGTAAAAGGTTTTATTATCAATAAAGTGCTGTAACTGTGAAGGTAACTGAATGATATGTGTAGCAAACCAGCAACCAAAGAGAAAGAGATAAAATATTTTGTTATAAATGTAATCTGAGGCATCCTTATAATAGTGCTTTGAGTTCCTGAGTTGAGGAAAATCTAAAACTGTAGAGTAACTTTGCCTACTGGTGTGAACTGGAAGTATTTTTAACCTCATTGTTCCTGTGCATACACAGCAGAGTATGACAGGGGAGGGTTTCCCCCTGTCCTTGCTCAGAGAGTTCTTCTCAGCCACATGTAAGTTCAAGGGCTTTGCATTTCACACCACTTCCCATATGTTTTTAGAGTTCCAAACTCATTTCCTGGCACTTAGATACATCCTACGCACTGAGGTGGGGATAGTCCTCATCCTACTGAGCTGGGCCTGGGCATCATTAGAATTATACCATCACAGGGCAGTCTCTGGGCCTCTGAGCAAAGACTATGTGTGGTGCCCACTTCAACATGTCCCCCTGATGCTAGAGACAATAGAGTTTGCTCTAAGTGGTGGCTGGAAAATCAATATAAACTGGCCTTGCTCCTGTGTCCACAGCTTCCCTCCATCTAGTGCCCCCAACCTCCTTGCCCTGTCTCCATCATCACACTTCCTCCTGCTCTGCACAGGCAGAAAGCTGTAATCTTTTATTTATTTGTGAGTCTAGAACCATCTATTCTTTTCAATCTATTATTATGACAAAAATATTTTGATCTTAGTCCTTCAGAGCTGACACCCCAAAAATACTACAAGGCATCTCTCTCTCTCTCTCTCTCTCTCTCTCTCTCTCTCTCTCTCTCAACCTGAGACAAATATTTATTGAGCATCTATTTTTTGCCAGATATTTTACAATGCTTCAAATGCCCGGTATTTCCTAAAATAAAGAAATAACCACCCTATATTTCGATTCAGTAATGTTTATCAAAAAAATACTGAATAATTCAGGGCATCTCTTGAGGATCAAACACGTGGGCTATTATCTCTACCAAGAAGTCTGAAATGTTTTTCTGAGATGTATGTATTGAGGATTGCCTCCTTTGTGTTTTTTTTCTGGCTGTGGTGGAATTTTCTGGAAACAACTAAGGAGAAAGAACTTAACTCCCTTCATAGTAAGAGGAATTGTAAGGGTTTGGAGGGACTACACAGTAGGCAATGGGATAGTACCAGGTCATACCTAAAGGTACAGACTGCATGGGATCAAGTGCTCAGTTGGCCACTAAATAGGCAAATTGTTTAATTTATTCATTAGCTAAATTGGGCAATTTATTTGACCTCTCTGTGACTTACTTTTCTCATATGTTATTAGTTTCTCATTATTTCACTCTAGCAAATTACCACAAACACGGTGTTTTTAAACAACAGAAAGTTATTCTCTCACTGTTCTGGAGGCCAGAAGTCTGAAATCAGTTTCACTGGGCTGAAGTCAAGGTGTTTGCAGGGTCATGTTCCCTCTGGAGATTGAGGGAGAACGCTTTCTTATCTCATCCAGCATCTATTGGTGCCAACATTCCTGGGCTAGTGGCCACATCACTCTGATTCCTGCCTTCATGGTCACATTGCCTTCTCCTCTTCTTTCTTGTGTCTAAACTTCTGCCTCCCTCTCATAGGACCCATGTGATTGCATTTAGGCCCCACTCAGATAATCCAAGATAATCCTCTCATCTCATGATTGTTAACTCAGTCACATCTGCAAATTTCTTTATTGCCATAGAAAGTAAAATTCATTGATTCTAGGGAGTAGGATTTGCATGTGTTTTGGGAGGGCTATTATTCAGCCTATTATAAATTATGTTGTAATAGTATGTACATAAAAATTAAAGGATATGATATATGAAAAGTAACTAGAAAAATGTCTACATGCAATAAAGCACTCAATAAATGTTATCACATGATGGTGATATCAATGATAATGAAACAAGAAAATGCAGATAAAAAGTTTCAAAATGAACAAAAAAAATTGAAATGAACATATGTAGAGGGATTCATGATGTGTGCTAACCTTAGAATGTTATTAGTCAAAAGATTGTATCACTACACAGTTTAGGCATATGATACATAGAGTCATGTCTGGTTTTGTCTTTGTTACTTTGTGCTTGAAATTTAAATCATGTCAACAATGTCAACCATCCTGAGTTCTCCCTAAGAAGAAAATCAAAGAGGTGATTTGATATGATTGTCACCTTCTGTTCCCTTGTCTCCTGCCCACCTAGGATACAGATCTGATGACATTCAACATTTCTGTACATCGGTCATGGTGGCGGGAACATGGGCCTGGTTGTGTCCGAAGAGTGCTGCCTCCATCAGCCCACGGCATGATGGATGATTACACGTACATCTCTGTCACAGGCTGCATCGTCGACTTCCAGTACCTGGAGGTCATCCACAGTGCCATCCAAATACTACTTTCTGTAAGTTTCACACCTGTGTCATTGTCTGACCAGGACCCTCCTTTAGTGGCCTTTTTATATCTGAACCTTCTGTCCAGGGACATGGAAATAGCATCAAGTATGCTAACATCTGTTGTACTAATGGCAGGTGACATCTTTTTCCAGTAGGTATCCAGACACATTGTCTCTAGAACCGGTGAGTTGCTGTTCTTTCTAGCTTGAGATACAATCCACCCATTCAGTGAAATAGTATCACTGTTTCCCTCCCCATACTTTAGGCTTTTCTACTTCCCTTCTACTACAGCTTCAGCTTCTCATGCATTCTTTCACTAATGCACATTAGTTCTAGAGAAAGAAAATGGAAAGACACTCAATGGTTTGTTCAGTCTAATAAATTTCCTATTTCAAAAAAACATTCCTTAAGAGAACAAGTCCCAGAGAGTGTTACACATTCTAGTGCCTAGAATTTGGGGTCAGGACACAGCTCCACCTAGAGCAACACAGAGGAGATGGCTTGATTGGACCACAGGTTTGTGTGCTTGGAGCTTCTTAAAGTTAATTTATTTCTACGATGATATCCCACCCACAGCTTGATCACTGTGGAGTGGAATTCATTTAAGCTATCTACCATCATCAAGAATGCTATTTATTTGGAATCCAGCAAGCACTAGGCATTTTGTTTGAGTCAATACACAATAAAGCCATTCTTAACCATGCTCTTCCCATAAACTAACTACCTCAGTCCTATCCAGCTGGTTAAAGTCAGAAAGAGAGATATATACTCAATAATAAATTAATAGATGACAGAAATATAGGTGCGTGTCAATGAAAAATGTACCTTGGAATTATTTCTAAGAACTTTGAGAAATCCCTGATATCGTTTACTTTATTTGTTATCTACTGCTGTGTGACAAAACACTCCAAAATATAATTACTTGAAATAATACCAGTTTATTGCTTAGAGTTCTGTGCATCAGGAATTTGGACAAGGCTCCACTGGGTAGTTCTGTTCCATGTGATACTGGCTAGGATCACTTATGTGAACTTTCCCATCAAGACCTCTGCTGGGGCTAGAACATCCAAGAAGAACTCACTCAGATGTCTGGTGCTGGCTGTTGGGGAAAAAATGACAGGCTTTCTTATAGCAATGCACCTGGATTCCAAATGAAGCCCAATATGCAAGCATTTTCCAGCCTATATAGGCATACTTCTCTTTATTGCAGATTTTGCATTTTATTAATTGAAAATTTGGGGCAACCCTGCATTGAGCAAGTCTATTGGCACCATTTTTTTAAAAAAAAACGTTATGTATATATTTCTATGTGTTTTTAATTAAATTTATTGAGGTGGCATTGGATAATATGATCTTACAGGTTTCATGTGTGGGTTTCTATGTTACAAGATCTGTATATTGCACTGTGTGCTCCCTATCCAAAGTCAAATCTCCTGCCACCGTATATTAGGTCCCCCTTCACCTCCACCCCTTCCCTCTGGTGACCACTGCTGTTTGTGTCCATCAGTTTCAGTTTTATATTCCACATATGAGTGAAATTATATGGCTCTTAGCTTTTTCTGACTGATTTGTTTCACTTAGCATAATATTCTCAAGGTCCATCCATGCTGTCGCAAATGGAAGTATTTTATCCTTTCTTGTGGCTGAGTCATATTCCATTGTGTACTTGTACCACATCTTCTTTATCCAGTCCTCTATTGCAGGACACTTTGGTTGTTTCCATTTCTTGGCCACCATGAACAATGCTGCAATGAACATAGGTGTGCATATATTTTTGTGAATACATGTTTTTAAGTTTTTCAGCTATCGATATATACCCAGGAAAGGTGTATATTTTCCAACAGGCTCAGATTATGGTTAGCATTTTTTAACAGTAAAATGTGTTTAATTAAGGTATGGAAATTTTCTTTTTAAACAGAATTCTATTGCACACTTAACAGATGAAAGTATAGTATAAGCATACATTTTTTAAGTACTGAGAAACAAAAAAATCTGACTCGCTTTATTACAATAATTGCTTTATTATAGTGGTCTGAACCTACCCCTCAATATTGCCAAAGTATGCCTGTACTTGAGTAATGCTTACTATTTGGCTATTTGGCTACAAACCCTCAGATGACTGATATGACCAAGATCAGAGTCATTTTAGGAGAGACTGTGGAAAGTGAGACTATTAGGAAACATGGCTTTTTTTGTGGTCACTGATGCAGTGATCTCACCTAACTTTCTTAATTATTGTTCTGTAACCTGCCTATGTCAAGTTTTAAGATAGTGTTTTAGAGCACATTTTAATTAGAATGTTTTTTTAAAAACTGACCATTCAAAAAAATTTTTTAAATCAAAGATCTTTTAGTGTTTTTGTTCAATGAAAGCCAAATTTGACACTGAATTCAAAAAAGGAGATTGTACCCAATGCTAAGGATTTTTCATTCAGAGATATAACAGGGAATCTGCTTATGATCATTTTTATATATATATATATACACACACATACAAGGGTAGGCAAAAGTAGGTATGGAAAAAGACATGCAGGTTAAGATTATTACAATGGCTTTATTAACTCAAAAGAATGTTACTTACTATTGTAAACCTACTTTTGCCCATTCCTATATGTGTGTGCATGCAGGGGTGTGTGTGTGTGTGTGTGTGTGTGTGTGTGTGTGTGTGTGTGTGCTGTAATATTTTTTTTAAATCTAGAGGCAAATTTTCTCTTAAAAAATTTCAGCCTATTTTATGGTAAAAGAGTACTCTGTTATTATATACTAAATTCTAAAGGTTCTTATGGAAACATTTTTCTACAATATTTCATAGGTGGAAAGATCCTTCTCCTTTTAAAAATTATTCATATAAAATTGCTAAACCATATCAAGGAATAATGGCATGATGTCCAAATCTTTAAAATTCAGCAGGATACTATGGAATCAAAAAGTCATTTACCCATGGGAATGTCAGGTCACTTGAAAAGCAAGGTGAAAGTATTCATTTGATAAGGAGCTGAACTGTCACTTAAAAACCTATGCTCGAGAAATATTGAATTCAGTGTATGTTGCCACTAAAAGTGCTTGTCACTTATAAATGAATTCCTCGATGTATTACTTTAGTGGACATTCAAAGCTGACCACCTGAATCAATAGTCAGAATTCTATTGTTCAGCCTTCCAGAAAAAAAAAAAAAAAAAAAAAAAAAAAAAAAAAAAAGATTAGTTGTTGATCTCTGGCTTTAATTGTGTAATATACCTACAAGACAAGATTTCCAATATTATTTTAGATTAAAATGAAATATATCCTGAGTACTTCACAACTTTCAAATTATGTATTGTTGTCTTTGATTTCAGATAGGTTTCTTGCACTTTCCACTTATTTCATAGCAATATATTTACAATTATGAGAATTCTGTTTTTTAAAATCTTATGAATAAGGGATACTTCCTTAAGTTGTCTAAAACTAATTCTAGTGTATGTCATTTGTACACAGCATCTATGGGTTTTAATAACAAAATATGTGAGCATTTAAAATTCATATTCTTCTTATATCATAAAATTCTCTTTAATAGTGTGTGTACGATTGGGTTTTATTCTGTATGTTAATCATTTACCACAGACATTTATGTCTCAAACCACAAATTCCAAACCACTTCCAAACAACAAAATTAAGTCTCCCAAGACCCAGATGCTCATAATTATCCCACTCGTTTGCAGGTCTTCATAAATTTTTACTTACCTGCTAGTTTTAAATAATCTACTAAACATTTCCTACTCAATGCAAAAGCAAGCTAAAACATTGGGTAGACTTAAATACAATTTCAACAGAGCAATGCAACGCTTAATTAGGACTCATATCTAGAAAATATGAGAAATGTTTAATAATTCATCAAGACAAACATTGTGATTGGAGTCTTATGGAGATATTAGTATAAAAAAACTAATGTTACTGATGTTTTATTTAGGGTAGCTTAATGTCATTCATAGACATTTTATCTTTAGCTGTAGGTATAATTATTAGATTAGAGAAAAGTAGCCTTCATAAGAACAAAAATTAATTTTTAAAGCATTTACACTGTCCCTTTAAACAAATTTTGTATAAATTCTACAAAGAAAATCTTAATGTCATCTTTATGTTCTTTCTAAATGAAAACAGGCAGATTATCATTTATTCAGAAAAACATACTCAGTAAATCCCTACTGTGTACAAAGCACTGTGCTAGGAGCTTTGGGGATGAGAGGATGGAATTATATTGACAAAGTTGAATTAGACATGATCCACCCATGTTATCTGTCAGTCTACTAGGGGAGATCAGGCAGCCATCAAAGTGCCATCAGAGGGACAGAAAATGGGAGATCCATAATTAAGATTCTAAGTGCCTTCAGAGCTCCTGGGAGGAAGTAGTATTCAAGGGAGCTGCTATCTTTAATTTAGGTCCACAGAGTTTACTCTTGGAAGTGAATTTCTCTTTTAGTGGCTCAAACTTTAATATTTCAAGGACATCCCAGATGACTTACTGAAGGGATTACATAAGCTTACATTCATGCCAGCACAGCGAGAATCAAGAATTCTGAGAGTTTAAGCAATTACCTCTTTGGGTCCATGGAAACAATATATTAAAGCATATCACAAGGGGCAAAAATGGATGCGTTCAGCAGAGTTAAAACAAATGACAGGCTGGTTGTCCTGACAAGAGAGCAGAGAAACTCCTTCTGGATGGAGATCATAGTCAAAAGAGCTGCCTTGGCCCTGTTGGTGGCTTAGTTGGTTGGAGCATCATCACCAGAAGGATTATGGGTTCGATTCCCGGTCAGAGCATGTACAAGAGGCAACTGATAGATGTTTCTCTCTCACATCAATGATTTTCTGTCTTTCTCTCTTCTTTCACCTTTCTCTAAAATTAATTTAAAAATCATATGCTCAGGTGAGGATTTAAAAAAATAAATAAAGAGCTGCCTTAGCCAGAAAGGGTCAGATATGGGTCTTGATCAGACTCTTATTGCAACTAGCCCAAGATAAGCTCCAAG